TAAGGAACATTTTAACAGAAAAACTACGGTCGGCAAGAAACAAAAACTTTTGCAAGACAATTAAGAAATGGGCACTTTGGTAACTAACCAGTTTTGGCTCGTACGTTATGTAAATGGTTTTTACAACACTTTTTCTGTTTCAAATGGATTTTTCACTCTTTTAACAATTAAGATGATTTGTATTTGTCGTTGTTTTTTGATGATGCCTAGCATCTTCCTTTCCTTAGTTTAATATGTATTTTTGCACAAAAATTAACTGTTCTTTTAAACGCTTAAGACACTTAAAAAGTTGGTACTTCAGTGGTTAAAGAAGGTGATATGCATGTTATGTTATAATCAATGAAGATAAGAATGGAAAAGATTAAAAGAACTACAAACAACGAGCTTAATGAAGAATTTGTGCCTCATCATGAGGCTAGAACCTTTATTTTGAAGCTGGAGCTTGTATATTGGATCACCCATATTCCTCTGAAAGCAAAGGTTTTCCGAATATAGCGATATCAAAGAGTTCCTGGGGATTGAAAGCACCTTGCACACTTCTGAGATGCTTTTCAACATGCGCAGTTTTACCAGCTTTGCGTGACGTGTTTAGAGAAGACGGAATACAGAATTCGTGCCAAAGCAATCCAGATCTGTTGTTTTTTCTTGTATCTCACGTCCTCAAGAAAAAATAGGCAACAAGAGGTTTTCGACACTAGCGAAAAAATAAAATATGTGTACGGCATCTTGGCACTCTCATTCCTGTATCGTCTCTAGATTCTCGCCACATTTTAACGAAGAATGATTTTGAAAACCTCGTATTTAGAACATATACACTGAACTCCTGCGGCGAACGCGCTTCAAGCCAATATCTGCCTCTTTAATGACAGACCCCGGTGGGTCTCGTAAAGCCATAAATCTACAACCAAAATTCTTTAGCTATATTTACGCAAAATATTTGCCTGCTGTTCAGGCCGGATATTGTACAGGTGGCGGTTACATCAAGGTCATATTACATATGAATCTATCAATATCAGAATTTCTATTTCAAGGCTGAGAAGTCCAGATCAAGGATTCGTACATTGTACACGACTGTCATTTAGTCCGGCATCATGACTGTAAACCGCATCATGCTCGTCACATTGTTGCTGTTTCTGGGCGCGTTCCACTTTGCCTCAAGCAAAAGGAGGAAATGTGAAGTGATCAAAATCCCTATGTGCAAAAGTATTGGCTACAACCTGACTTATATGCCGAATATGTTCAACCACGACACACAAGAGGAAGCGGCGCTTGAGGTTCATCAGTACTGGCCGCTAGTTGAGATCAAGTGTTCGCCAGACCTAAAGTTCTTTCTCTGCTCCGTGTATGCTCCAATGTGCCAGCCAAACTCTAAACACGAAGTGCTTCCATGCCGGTCTATCTGCCGACGAGCAAGAAAAGGCTGTGCGCCTTTACTGCGTAAGTATGGCTTTTCGTTGCCCGAGAAAATGAGATGCAGAAATTTTCCTAAAGACAGGGGCAACGGATTGTGCTATAATGGCATAGACAGACCTCTGTTGAATCATACTTCGACAACGGAACGACCGACGAATTCATCGTTCAGCCCGGCTTGTAAGAAAATCATTGACGGAAACCTCGCCATTACTTCAGGTGTCCTAGGCGGCTCATCAAAGCCACCGCCGGCATTTACCTTCATGTTATTGGTAGCCATTGTTGCTGTCGGACAGATACCAGTCTAAAAAATTGTGTTCCTTTTTTTTCAGCAAATCGACCGGTATTCGTTTTCAATAGAACTTCATGTATAATTTTATCATTATGCAAATAAATTAGGCTCGTATTTTCTTCGTGTTTAAATTACCAGAGTTGCTGGGACCAAGCTATTGAAGTAGTGACTCATTTAGATCAAAATTAAGTTTCTCCAAGGCTTACAACGCACTTTTTTCTCGGGATATCTTAGCGGGTTGATTTTTTGAGCACTTCCAAAGAAAATGCGGTAAATCGGCAAAACGTTTACACTCCAATCGGACTCTTGTAGTTAATCGGACTCTCATTGTAACGTTTGTAATATAAGTCTTGGAGGTAAAATTTCTCTCATCCGTTCTCTTTCTGTTTTTGATTTCATGTGCTTTGATAAAGGACAAAAAACCAAAGGAGCTGTGATTTTCCAATCCTTGGATTTAATTCACAGTTAATTTCTAAAGGAACCTTCCTAAAGTCAAGACTATACATAAGCAATTGCTCAATCGCTTTAACCGAGCTGAATGAGACTGAGAGACCTAACATAACCGGTCAGAGAACCGGCCAAGAACGCTTTTTAGTATTTTTAAAAAGTACAGAAATTGTTTGTTCCGTAACATCGTAATGGTAAATTTCTAAATCTAAATTTTAATTCTTTCAACAGGCAAGTCACGCCATTTCATGGCAGAGTGAACACCAAGTACGCGCTAGCGGAAATAACCGCTTTGTTCTAAGGCGCCTAATGATCGATCAAGGGCATAAAGTATGAATAAACCTGGCAAATATTGCAATAAGGTGGTTTCCCTCAGTGACCAGTTTTCCAAAATACCGAAAGTTTCCCAGCCAAATCACTATGTTTGGAACCTCTTGTAAGCGACCACCTCTCGTAAGCGACCGCGACCACTTTTAGAGCTAAAAGTTTGAAATTTTCTTTTGTTTTTTACCTTCCTGCGTTATAACCCACAAGATTACGGCGCTGAACAAGCAATCCCACCCGCTCCTTGCGAAAATCACAAAAACCAAAACAAACAGCATGCAGGCAAAAGAGTCCGTGGAAAGCGCACGATCTCGAGATTTTCACAGAACCACCCAATGGGAACTATAACTTGAAAACAAAAACCACATTGTTTAAAGGTCACCTACCATTCCGTTTCGAATGCACAAACTCCGCAGAAAAGAAAATAAAAGTTACCAAGAGAAACAAACGCTTCCAGTGAATCATTTCTCCCCAAACATTCGCCTGACATCTGCAAAGCGTGAACTGCCTTATACGTAAAATAACAGTGATGGCATGGATTAGATATGATGAGTAATAACATGCTTTGGTTCAGGTTCCCTTATTGACTGATTTGATTTCAACGCCGCCGGACAGGGTAACCATCAAAAGAAAATGCTACAATGATGAAGAATTCTCTGAAACAGGTAGATCTTAAAACGATACAATTAGCATTCTTACAAAAGGAATCACTCCGTGTTACTCGACATACCGATTCTTTCTCATTCTTGCTGGGTAATTTTTTTGAAGCTTTCTGTTAGAAACCGGGTACGTTTTTATCCGTTATTCAACTGGAATATTTTTTGGCGGCCTAAATTGTACTGGAGCGTTAAGTTATATATACGATGTCGCACCATTTGTATGTACCTTAGGTGAAATTTTTCATCCATGAAAAATTAGGAGTGTATTTGAGAGATGAATGAATTCAAGTGCTTTCTTTGATTTCTGGCTGTAGCCTTTTTTCGTCTATTTCCCTTTTCATGGAAACACCGACTTTACTCTTTTTCTATCTGCGCAATGCAAAACACAAGTGTTCCGCATTTTAAAGTTAATTTTGCGAAAAAAGGTGCAACGTTTCCCGTATAGATTTGCTAATTCTCCACCTGCGCTAAAACATTAAAAACGTGATATTTTAGACCCAAACGTGAAGCTCTCACTAGGGGAGAACATTTGCTCTGTGAATTGTGTAATGTGTCATTTGGCAGGGACGATCAAGCCTTAGGGAAACCTTGCAGCTGTCGCTGGCGAGCAGATTCACTTTCAACTATTTAAAAAAAAACACCTTGTAAGAAAGCGTATCATGCCCAGTGTTAAATGATGTACCTCTTCAACTCTTTAGTATAAATCTGCTAGCGCTCTATCACGAATGTGGTTCTCGTATTGGCTAACCTACTGACTATCTATTCTGTTGTTTTAATAAGACATTTCAGTCTCCTACTGCAAGTCTTGAAGTAGAAACCTGGTTCCATATTCTAGTTAACACTTAGCACTTAGCCCTCGCAGGTTAGTGTAATCTGCCACTTGTGTAGTGGGGGTGCTGCCTGAAAGTAACACAAAAGACTATCGTAATGATCATGATAATGACAAGTATCTAGTATTTCCTCATATACGATACAAAGAAAGATGTACGTATCCCTCAAGGAGGAATCCCGCATGTTTCTTTTCACAGCGCCATTTTGACCGATTTCGAGGGGATTTTGGAGGGAAGATATTTTTCCACGAAGAGAGTAATTTATCCGCAAAATCGAAGTCGGCAAAGAGAGGGCTCAATATTCAAAGTCTGCATTACGTTTTTAGATATTTCGCCCTATCGCACAAAGGCGACGTTATTCCCTTTAAGACTATTAACAGGTTTCTTATAGTCCTCTTAAAACCCCTTAGCGCGTGCAACGTAAAACCTTTCGGGAAAGAAAAAAAAGGTGGATAACAAATCCTTATTGTTCATTTTATTGTGCAATATCGCTGTATATTTTAACTAGTCAGAATACAGTTTTTCCTCAGCTTCAATGTCAGTTCCGATTAAACACAGTGGCTCCGAACAAGACTCGATCGTACACAGAGGTCTGTGGCATTTCTCTCTAATGTAATGTAGAAAGAGACCATAAAATCCACATCTTCTGTAGTACCACGGAGGTTCCTTAGTCTCGTCAACAATTTTCAGGCACCGATCGAACCTTGGTCGGTACCATTCCTCGCCGTCCATAAAAACTGCATTATCAATGCAATCCCTTACAACTCTCTTTCCATCGCAATCTTCCAAGGAAATACGACTGTCGCACTCGAAGCATCTAAAGTGTTCGTACTCTTCACCTGCAACTAGAAACAAAGAAAAAAACAGAGAACTGAGAAGAAGGCACTCCAAGCTCGCTTTACATTATTAAATACGTGAAGGATTGATTTTCTAAATTAACATTACTGATTGGTGTGAATCAGATGGACAATAGGCCCTTTGCACGATCCGGTCACATGGTACAAAATCACACATGCTGGTGAGTAAGTTGCGCAGTGGGACTTCCAAAACAATGGAACTCGTACCAGTCCACCTGGACCTGCCTTTGTCTTGGAAGTCCCACTGCGCAACTTGCTCACCAGCAGGTGTGATTTTGTACCATGTGACCGGATCGTGCAAAGGGCCTATCAACATTATAAATCTAGGAAGACCTTTTGAAAGAATACATTATTTTTACTCTAGTGAAATAAACCGTTCAGCTGGTATAGAATAGTGACCCCGAAAATATAAAATGTTCAGGTAAAAAAACGTAACCTTATGTGTTTTAAAATAAAAATTCAACAGATTCAAAATTTTAGCAAATTAAGTAGACGGCTACTGACATGCAAAATCCTTGTTTTCCGCTACGAATATACTTTATGTGGTCTAGATTGCCAACCAAAATACCTTAGTCATGAAAACCTAAGATTTCTAACTGGATAAAGTGCTCAGTTTACAGATCCCACCGAAATTGCGGCTCATTCGAACACAGGAGCAGTACTTGTGTGTTCTTCAGTGCTTATACTTCAATCATGCCACCTAGCTCACAAGTAATAAAAAGAGGACAATGGACGACTATACTAGTCAATTCATCCATTTCCCTGTAGAATGTTTATCCAGACGGCATGGATACACCAAAAGGCCACCAAATGTTTCCTCAAAGATCTTTGGTTTTATTTTTAAAATGAAATAAAAAGGGTGAATTTAATGAAAAAAAATGTATTCCGATGCATGCAATAAAATAAGGCCATGCTGATCCAATAAATTCCCTCAATCCGCAAAGAGCTAAGCCAATATACTAGATTGAATAAGTCGACCAGACTTTTGACAGGCAGTGAATTTGCACTTCAAGAAATTTTATTTGCACCCGCATGTTACCTTTGAGGATGGGTGAACTTAGGTAAAGGGTCTGTTTGCATTTTGTTTCTTTTAACTGTGCATTAAAAAAATTCATTTCTCTGAAGACCAAGATCGCAGAGCAATTATTCAGCTGTCTTCGAAATCAGTACAGGTAGTCATCAAATAACGACGCTTTTAATAATTACCTTCCAGTTTCAACGAAAAGCATCTCTCGACTTATTTAATAAGCACTTATCATCCTAAACGTTCGCGGTAATTTCGTAAAGGATAATGAAAACGCGTTCCTCAGAGGTAAGAACAGACTTAAAGGCTTCAACTGTACTGTTGCTGAGTAAATCCCAACCGGAGTAATGAAAAACTAACACTTAATCATAGACTGTGAATACCCAGGTTGCAATTCGAAACATTATAAGTTCTGACTCTTGTTTTGAAAGCTTAAACTCTCATAGCAAGGTTATAGATATACCCATATCGATTAAAGAATTAAATCTGAACTCTCTCACTGAAGCCAAACCCGAAAGGGAGTTAGATATGAAATAAACTAATTTTGAAAAAACACGTCACTGCACAAAAAAAAATTGAAATTTAATAAGCTTCCTCGCGCAATGTAATTAGCCCTTATCAACCCTCTATTTTCAATACAGTAAGGTCGACTCACCAGTGTTATAGGCAATCAGTAATAATCCAGTCGAGATGATAAAACTCGAGATGGACATTCTTTCTTTCAGAGGACCAGTGTCGGAAAAAACGACTCTACGACAAAAGAGTGACGAGAAAGCCACTAAATCAGCAGACTCAAAAAAAGGCTTGCTGCGATGTTGGTTGGAAAAATGAAATAAAGGCAACGTACTGTCTTGAGACTCGTTTGTCCTCGTCGTTCCTTGTTGAAAATTCTCCTTTTATCGCTTTCTTGTAGTCGTCGAATGGAACGGGTGTAAAAGGTCGTTTTAAGGACGGTTCTCTTCCAGTAGTTACCTGGTAACGTGGCCATGTTTCTAAAAATGTCTGGATGGCACCTACGCTAGAAATCAAGTGTCTTAATCGCATTCATCCAGATATGAAGATGATTGGCTAAAAGCCATTTGTAAGGTAGTGCAGTAAAACGTGTCAAAACCTTTTTTTCCCTTTTTTGGGATAACAAAGACCCACGCACTTAAAAGCAATTTCGGTGCACGCATCGATATTGGAAGTATATCGTATACGTATCAAAATAAGAAGGTTCGACTCGCACTAAGCTGGCTAAATTTAGATGTAAAGTCTCTGACCTTTTCCTTAACTTGAGCAGATTCATTCAGATTTTAAAATGATTCGCTCAAAAAGGGATGTCAGGAAAGGTGTCATTGAAACCCTTGGTTAACGTGTCGACGTTATTTACGCCATATTACAACCGGCTTGATTTAATTTGTCTGATGTCTTTCATTCACTTTCCTGAATTAATTTCATCGTCGAAATGCCTCACATTAAAACTGAAAAGTAGATAATATCATATCCACTTTTTGAGTGATCAGCAACACGCTTAGTTTTCTACTCTGTCACCAAACATAAAAGGCATGTCTAACGACTAGGTTCGTTGAAATACATGTATGTGTTGGAGAGGACTTGAAGCTCTCTCAAGGATTTCAAAGATCACTTTATAAAAACTAAAGTTGTCTTAGGCATAGTTATTAGAGAGGAGTGATTATCAAACCCGACAGAGTTCTTTGTCGTATGTTTTTGTTCACTTTTTGTGGTCTTAAACGTGCACAAGTCATAATAGTTGTTTACTACTGACCGAGGAACTAACTAATAGTAACGTTTTGGTTATATAATTTATGCATAATGTTTGAGCGCAAAACAAAAGATTGTGCGCGGTCGTGGACTTTCCAGCATAAATCTAGATATCTTTGTTGGCTCCTTTGATGTTTGTCGGGCTTCATAACTATTCCCCTCTATTAACAATGTCTTATGTAGCATGTAAGTAACGCAAAGTTTTGGTAACTTTGCGAACACTAGCATTTTCATTTTTGTTCAGGCACACTAGTATTACCGAAGGTATCATTACTCTTATTGCAACAATGCATTTTTTACAAATAAAACACTGAGAATATTTTCCATTGTTATTATTTGGCCGAATGTAAGTGTGATATCCTCGGTTTTATGCCCCATAAAACTTTAGATTGTTGCCAGCATTTGTCAACAGTGCAGCAGGTCTGAATTAAACATTATGTAAGGTTCATCACCAGCAGAAAGATCGTGATTATGCCGTTTCTTATTATAGCGAAAAAAAAGAGATGAAATATTTTAAAACACAAACGTTATTGCCTTTTAATTGAACTTTCCTAACAAGTTAGGTTACAACACTTTTCAGAGTTTGATATTATTTCTCATTTATCAGCTACTAGAAGCTGTACCGTCTATTGATACAGCAAAAGAAATAACAAAATAGTTCAAGTTTGTCACTACAGATATAAAGAGCACTTTTCAGAGTTTGAGATTATTCAAAATTTATCAGCGACACAAAAAACCATATCGTCCATATCGTGTGGTCAAGTTCCTCACAAATAGGTAAAATCGAATGAAATGTTAATTTACTTTATGAATTTTTTTACAATTCGTCAGCTTAAAAAAGGCTAAATTAAATTTTATTACTATTTGGGAGCGCTTATAACTTGACTTGATTAGACCCAAAACTTATTAAGTCATTCAACGGCACGGGCGACCACCTCTTTCTCTTCTCTGCTCAATTGTTTTTGAAACAAGACGACCCCGATTACTCTTCGACAAGAATTGGTGAGATTTTGTACTAGGCTTTGTCGCACTGCTTATATAGCCGATATAGATTAATATTTATACCGTCTTTCACAATCCCACCTATCTTTTCCTCTTGCATGTCTTTTTGGGCTCAGTTCTACCTATCTTTTCCTCTTGCACGTCTTTTCGGGCTCAACACTTTTATTTGTATGCTGTTCCTAATGCGCTACTCTATAGTCGAAGATCAGTTTTTGTGTGTGTGTTACAGTCACTTTTTTGACAGATTTTGAGACATTTGTTGAACTTAACATGCTCCATAGCTTTTTTACAAAAACCAACATCGCCAATTCGACCAGGATATAGGACCTGCATGAAAACCAGCTAAGGCTGATGTGCCTTCCTCTCCAAATATTGTAATTTATTTGTTGCACGCAAGCGCTACAACTGAGAAGAGACAAGATTACAGAGCTCACATTAGAGCTTAGCCCGGCTTAGAATGCACATCGAGTCATTTAATTTTCACTTGTGTTTTTCAATACCAGAGACAGCCACTCCTTAGATGAACTTAATTTGCATCGCCAATGGCTTTATTATATATTTTCCCAGCAACGATCTTATTAGTTCTTTCAGCGACTGAGAAGACACTTGTGACGAATTATGAAGACCGCTGTCCCTCTCCTGTCCTTTGCCGCTGTCGCTTGGTTCTTTCTGAAGGGTAAGATTTTATATCCAGAGATTTGAAGTTTGTGGCCACTTACGTCTCATCAAGCAGACAAACAAACACTTCGGATGTAAAACTACTTGGATGATTTTAAGTAGTTAAATAGTCAGTGATCTAATCAAAAACAGTACGAGTTGTCATCTCTCAGAGGCAGGGATCTTAGAACGCACTTGTTTGTTCAGTATTTTTGGTAGTTTTGCGCTAGTTTTTAATTGTTTTTCAAACTATTATTACAGGCGCCACCTTATTTTTTATGGTAGTTTTGCATGTGTATGAAAAAATAGTGTCAAATGCGTCCTTTTAGCGGAGGAACACGCGTCGTTATGGTAAATTTTCATTGCAGCGCTCCAAGAATTTCCTCTATTGTTATCCAACCAAACACCAGCACGGTCAAAGGGTTAGACTGGGGGAAAACAAACGTTTGTAGTTGTTGTTTTTCTTGTTGTGATTGTTAATGTTGGTAGTCATGAAGATGACGACGATAACGATAACGATGACGATGATGATATTATAGTATATTCTCGATTGACAAGACCTTGCTTCTTGCTGCTGTTACGTTACCTTGATAATTTTGGATAAACTGATATTTTCCCTCTTTGATAGGAAAAGCCATCTCTTGTTACCAATGTGACAGAGTGACGTACAATGAGTGCAGACATGGACCTGTCATCAACTGCTCCAGTATATATTTTGACCCGGAGCGGAACACATTCGGACGAAATTTCGACTGTTGTTTTGTCACCAAACTGAGAGGGATTATAGGGAAAGTGAGCGTCAACTGTGACATAAGCAGTCGACTGCCCACAGCTCGACACAGTTGTTCAATGCCGAATTGTTTTGTAGAAGCTTGCTTCCAAGACCTTTGTCTGCCAGGCACACCGTTGTCTGGTGATGATTGATAAGATATTAACCTGGAATATTGTGATTAGGGTGATTGATAGACATCGAATTTCTCCTTTCACTATTAACGCATGTCAAACATATTGTAGAAATAAAAAGTAAAAATGGGGAGGTAGCCAGATGTATCATTGTAATCGATACGCTATAATAAAGGATTGACAGTATAGTGACAAGTTTTAAAAGATTGTGAAGGTGAATTAATCAACATGACACGAGCGTGGGACAGAGAAACATTCTGAGTCCCCAACAAGAATCGAACCCATGACCTTCCGAACACCGGGCGGGTGCTCTATCCACTGAGCTACGAGAACTCATGGAGA